GTTTATTGATATAAAACACGGCCAAACCAGTATGTATTCTGGACTTTATTTTAGTTTGAATTCGTTATGTAGATGGTCCAGCTTTGATTTCTGCAAAAGCATAGGTGAAAGCTCAGCTTACTGGCAATTAAACTGGAGTGTTTCGAAAACTGCGTCAAGATTAACGTCCCACAAAAATAACAACGTAACAAGCGAGACACGCCAATACCCGTTTAGGACAATTCGCAAAATGATAAGCAGCTCAAAAATAAATATATGCGAGTGGCAAGATGCCACCAGCCATGCGAAATACTGAAACAAAAAAACTCTGATCAAGAAAGACTGATCTATTTGAGCTCTCGGTTGCTGGAGTAGCGAAGATTGGGGACAAAGTAAACCAGAACATTAAGAAAAATTAACAAGGTATAACTTTTATGTTCAGTTGAAGGAACAATGCAAACACTGGCACTTTGTCCAATGCTCATATTTCTAGAAAAAACGTGCAGACCGTAGGAGGGAAAATCAGGTGGTGGTTGATCGAAAGAATTAAAGGTGAGCCAAAAACCATGACTAGACGTCCTAAGCAGTTGGTAAAAACGGAAACACTTCGGAAAATTGAGTTAAGCAGTTCACGTGGACTGGTGCAAGCTTGTGTGAAATCTCAGATATAGGGGAAATGGTAAAGAACAATACACTTGATAACTCTATTGGGGTAGAAGAAAATATTTTCCATGGAAAGCCCAGTACTAACTAGCAACCAAGTGAGCAGATGAGAATTTAAAGACAGCCATATTGGACAATATATGGGTCGACCAAAACCCATATCAATATAATGGAGCATATAAAGATGAAGATCAATTACAAATTTTGAATCGCCTCCAAGGAAAAGTTGAATAGAGTTCATAAGGCCAAGAAAGGAAAAAACGGTGATGCATGTGCGAGCTCTCATCGGCAAAGTTATAGCAGAAGTGAAGAAGAAAATCACGTCTTGTATATTAGAGGTTGTTCTAAACCAGCCCAGGTCCGTCGACCATTTCGACAAGAATGCAATGATATACAACTCGCCCTGATCTATGATAGGGTAAATGTAATGGAAAAGTGAGTAAACACAAGTCAAAGACTGATATAACACTTTAAACAATATATGGAATGGGTGGAATAACAGACAGTTTGAGGAAGTTTCAGATGCGATTGCGACCGTAACAAAAAGCATATTCGGCAAAAAAGAAGCCAAACCACGAAATGTGCTTTAGATGACAAGTACACTTGTCATTGACTGTCTGCCTTCCG